AATTCCCTCAGAGGGGGGTCTTGTGGTTATTACAGTGCTGATATTTTTGCAAGGTCTTTGCGGAATCAGCTACGGTAACGTTATGTGAAATAAAAAAAAATAGAATCGAACAAAAGAAGACGAATCTACTATTGTTTTTTTTTTGTTTTTCAGGATTTTTAATATCGGTCTTTTGTAGCGACCATAATTCAGCCAACATATTGTCCACTGGCGTGTTTTATCCCATGATCTTAACTTGTGGTAAGTATTAATTAATAAATAAGACAATCGGAAGAAATTAACTGAAACTGAACCAATTAAAACACTAAAATTCCACATAAACACGTTTATAAATGAAGGGTGACCAAACAAATATTTGATGAATTTTATTAGGCTTGGTGTGGCCCATCGAAAGTATGCCAACAGTTCTTCGTTGGATATCTCTTTGTTTGCCATTTACAGTACCGATTTTATCGGTGAGAAATGTTCTTAAAAAGGGATGGGGTATGACCCATCTACATGTCCTGAATGGCGTTGGCCTGGAAATACTTTGGTGCGTTATTTTAGGCACCATTAGTGCTTACCAACTAAAAAAACGTAGATAAATTGTGATTATTTGTTTAGCAAAGTGTTCGTTTATTTATTTGTGGATGTTTTATATTAGTTTGTTTAAGCAATTGCTATTGTAAATAAAAAAAAAGGAATAAAATGGTTGTTTGCTCATTATTTGTTTTGTTTTAAGCAGTTGCTAGCGTAAAACAAAATTAAAAAAAAGAAGGTATGAAGCATTTGTTTGCTCATTTTTTTGTTGTTTTAAACAACTGAATGAATAATAAAAGGATGAAAAGTCATTATTACGTTTTTAATGATTATTTTAATAAGAAATTTAAAAGTACAAAAAAAATACAAAAATTTACTCTTATCTTCAACCCTATAAGTAATAAAAATTATACACCTACATATTCATAGTACGAAAGTATTTAATTTTTTTTTACAAAACGTTACGTATTTAAATTTTTGATTTCCAATGTCAAGTAGGTTGTTAGGGACAAAACAAAAGATATACAGGGTGACAGAATACAAAAAAATGTTTGAGGTGAAACTTGAAAAAAAAGTAAACCGGTGCCAAAGCAAAACATCTGTACCAATAAGTTACAATAAAATAATTTAATTTTTACAATGCTAATTCGAAAAATATTCGCTTTATATGAAAATAGACTACAAGATTTAAATGGTAATACAATGTTAAAATCCACGTTATCTTATTGCCTCCATGATAAAACCTTTTTCCATTAATGCCTACTTTATTTAAATAGTTTTGTATTTTTTTTTATTTTTAAAGTCTTCATTTATAATTTGTTTGTTTCTAAAAATTTTCAAAACAATAATTAAATCGACATACGGGCAATTTTCCAATTACTGTTGATTAAATCAATTAAAATTATTACCTTGGTTAAGGAAGCCTGATACGTCTTCATACAAATAGCATTAAAATCATAAAAACAGCGTATTTTACAAAAATAAAACACAACTGTCGATAAATATGAGTACTATGTACAAAACAATATTACAATCAAGTACACACTATAAGTAATGTCGTACGTTGTAGGAATGAAAATTATATATACATAATATAATTAATGACGATGTAATGTACAACAGTTAGTACACGAACTATATTACAATTATAAAATTATTAAACAAGGGCTAGTCGTTCCCTAACGCCCGCGCTGATCTTCTCCTGGAATTAAAATTAAGGCGTGGTTTGTAGAGATCATCGCTAGAGTACCTTTGCAAATTCGCTGACACTGTAAACGAAAACAAAAAGAACAATCAAACAATAATTCAAAAAAGTGAGTGTAAAACAAAAAGTAGTGAACAGTTGCCTGCTATACAATTGCTGCCTCTGTTGAGAAAAAAATATGTAAAAACAAAATCAACGTACGTCGTTCAGTGGTATTTTTTCTCTTTGTAGTTTTCGGTAGTTCCGTTTCCTTTTTCCCGTTTTTAACTGGTTTTTGTCCGTCCATAGAGCACAGATCCAGCTTGACGTCAGTTGTTACGACTAAAACAAAACATTTCTTCTTAAGCCCCTCCAAAACACAACCAATTTTCGGTAAAACAAAACAGAAAGCATGCAACATTAAATTTTTATAACTTGCCTCCATTTCCATTGGGTTTCTTCTTTTTAGCTGGAATTTTCGAATTTATAGATATCGTGTTATTTTGAACTTTGTGATTCAGTTGTGCAATTGATGCAGTGTCTAAGAATAATGCAAGCGTTTATTAAATAAATATACTTTTATAGACAATTTTTAATACATAAATATATATAGGGTGTCGAATATGTACTTAGGGTAAAGGTAGATAAGGGACCAAGAAAATAAGATACTTTGCAGTTCAGATAATGTCAACTATCATCATCATTTTCCTGGTCATCTGTATAACTACATCCACCCTGTATTTGTATATATTTGTATATTTACCCGTGTTGACGACGTGGTTTTCAATTTTGTTATTATTATGATGGTCGCAAGGTCCCAGGCAACTCTCCTTTCGTTTCCGGCCCCTTTTAGAGGCAGGTTTACTAGGCACTTGCTTATCATCAGCGTACACCTGTTGCTTCTTGTTTTTACCATCAGCCACTACGACATTGGAATCGCTAAGAACATTTCGTTTTACTGTAGCGATTTCTTCTTGGGTTTCCGTTGGTTTTTGTTGACGCTTATTAACAATCGAAGTGATAAGACTTATGTCTTGCTCGAGTTTTTCCAAAGAGGTCTTCAGATGGGTCAAATTATCCGTGTCTGTGGAACAATTACGATTCAAATGGGAAATATTTATCGTGTCTTCAGTTTCTTCAGCGGTTGATGACTTTTCCGCCTTTTCTTCTGCTCTTGATCTTATTGTGACTGATAATTCCTCATTACTGCAACACTTATTCTCGATTTCTTCTGATTTTATTTCCATTTCCTTTGATGTTTCGGCTCGCTTTTGTTCCTCTTCCGGTTTTTGTGTTTCTTTCGACGAATTATCAGTTTTCTTATTCGAATTTCCTGGCTCTACAGCCACGGAAGATTTTTCCTTATCAGTTTGTGTATTGGGAGTTTCGTTTGTATCCATATCTTCGCTATCTCTGTAAGAATTTTCCTTGTCGTTACTCTCGGTGATGTTTGTTGTTAATAGATTTTGTTGAACGGCCAATTTCGCCTCTAAAGCGTCCCAACTTTCTTTAGTTATCACCTGGTTAGCAAGAGGAGGAGGCACCAGTTCGTCAGTCTTTTCTTTGTCTTCAGTTTCTTTATTCTTATCACCTCCATCTTGTTCTGATTCGTCTATCTTATTTTTTGTTTTATGATTTTTATCATTATCAGAAGAGAGCAAAGTGGTCTTGTTGAAATTGTTGAAACAATTCAGTTGATTTTGCTTTTCAAGTTTGTGCAGTTGCTTTCTAATTTTCATTAATCTCATAGCTTCATAAATGTTTGAGGCGAATTTCGGTTTAATAAGTTTCACTTGCATTTCAGGTACTTGAACATTATCACCAACATGCTGAGAGTTGGTGAAAACAGCGATTTCGTCCATGTTTTGACATTGGTAGTTGGAGGAATCTTGCATGACTTCTGTGTCGTCTGAATTTCCAGAATCTCCGGATCCGGAACCAGAATTGGACGACTCCTGGACGCTGGTTTGTTTCTGAGGTGTTTCAGAAAATGAACTTTGAGAACTATAATTCCCTGATCGGCCGTCACTTGAGTCCCTATCGGTGGATCGACGGTCCCATTTCTTCCCTTTTGATCCATAATGGTCATCTTTACTGCTCCGTTTAGAGTCCCGTTTAGAATCCTTGCTTTTATCCCGTTTTTCATCTTTTTTATGTTTACTAATTTCTTTCCCTCTAGTAGAATCTTCAGAATTTTTTGAATCGCTTTTTTTCTTTTGTTTTGAATCAGATTTTGCCTTGTGATCTGGTCCATTTTCAGATTTAGTTCTACTTTTTGAACTCTTCTCTTTCTGATCAATGTCTTTACTGCTACTTTTGTATTTACTGCTTGATGATTTCTCTTTGGTCTCATCAGACCTATCAGTTTTATGTTTGCTTTCTTTCTTTTCACTTTCCTTGTCCTTGATTTTAGCCTTCCCATCTTTAGACTTGTCTCTACTATCTTTTGATTTACTCTTATCATCTCTTGACTTATCTTTTTCAGATTTACCTTTATCTCTTTGTTTTTCAGATTTAGTTTTATCTTTATCAGGCTTTTCACCCTCATTCTGATCCTTATCTGATTTTATTTTATGTTTATGATCTTTTTCTTTATCACTTTTGGTTTTATCTTTTTCAGATTTACTGTTTTTTATTTTATCTTTATCACTCTTACTTTTATCTTTTTCACTTTTACGTTCTTTAGACTCCTTTGAGGTACTTTTATCTTTCTTTTCTCTGTCCTTTCTGTCTTTTTCTTTGCTTTTTTCATGTCGTGATTTATGCTTATCTGAACTTTTATACTTTTCAGACTTCTTATCTTCACTTTTTGATTTTCCATTTTCTGTTTCTTTATTCTCTTCTGCATTAACCTGATCCAATTTATTGTCTGTTATTTCATTTAATTTATTTTCATTATAATTCTCCTCTTCTTTATTGTTTTCACTGATATCTTCTTTTACTGGCTGCTCTGCTGTTGAATTGATTTGGAATTTATTCTCATTATCATTTAAGTTGAAATTGAAAGAGTTAGAATTTGGATCAGACTTGCTGTCAATTTCCATCCACTTTGTTCTTGAGTGAGATGAATCTTCACTTATATCCATAGATAAATGGCCATCTCCTGAACTTTGTTTAGAGAACTGAGAATCCTGATTCGAATTATCAGGTTTGAATTTACTTTCACTATGATTGGAATCTTGACTCATTAAACCTAAAATTATTATATTTATTAGAAGAGCATTGGCCAAAATAAACCCTAATACCTGATAAATGACTATCAACAGAATTTTCATCCAGATTTGTCTGGGGAATACTTCCTTCTAAGGGTTCGAAGGGAGGTGATTCATCTTCATCTATTTTGTTTTCATCATTTTTTTCTGAATCAAACCTTTGGTCATTTTTTTTCTCTGTTGTCTCTGACTCTGGAGATATAGCTTCCAAATCATTAGGGAGAAGATCATTTTGGGAAATATTTATATGGAGTGGTTTGGTATCCTTGCTTTCTTTAGTTGTTTCCTCTTTACTAGTAGGTTTCTCTATTCCAAGGAATTTGTAGACTACATTCTCCACTTGTGGCAGGAAGACTGTGTTTATTTTAGGATTAACAACTTGATCAACTATTCTTTCTACACCAGTTTCTAGAAAACCTGATCTACAAAAACATTATTATAGATGTAAAAACTATTTATATATTAAATGTGTTCAGAATCCTTTTTCGAGTTTTTATTGACCTCTATAGAATATCTTAACTTACTCTGAAATGTCTTTTCGAAGCATTTCACGAACTTGATTTTTATTCAACTCAGCACTCCACTTCTGGCTGTTAAGAAAGTTGGTTACATTACTTTCAACCCTTTGCCTTAAATTTTGATAGGCAGGTTTTGTATCCACATCGGCTATGCATTCTTTACGAAATTGGTCAAAAATCCCTTGTGCTTTTAATTCGTATACTATATGGTCAATAAGCCTGGGATCCCCAGGCACAAAATTGGTTCCAATTATTTCCATACTACTTTCACACAAAACAACAAACTAATGAAATAATTACATACTAGTTTCACACAATTTTTATAAAAACTAAAATACTATATTATAGAAAAAACTTCTTAATCACAACAGACAAATTATTATTATGTAGCGTCGTAATTAACATCACTGACGTTTATGTTTGACGTCTGACATTGACATTTGTAATATCTAAATAGTAATTAAATATCCCGCTGTCAGTGAATATCCACACCAGTGCATACACACTATTCCACAATTTTTAAAAATTAAAAAAAAAATTAAAATGCATTTCGGATCCTAACAAATGATTAATAATTCTAAGGTACTTGTTATTTCCTGGTTTTTAGAACGCCTCAATAATAGTAACTGCATTTGAAGTAATTCGCCAGGATTGTCATGCTTTCGATAAAATCATGAGTGCCTTACATGAAAAAATAATAGTATACCGATAATGATTTATTTTTAATATTAGCCATATCTAATGAATAAATATATCAATTTAAAGAATTCGGTGGCGATTGCAGTTAAAATTTAGACAAAAGTGACAATTTGAGATGTGATCCACATGTGATCATTCATTTCGAAAGTTAGAAATCGGATCAGACCCCCCGCAAATTATAATTTTTTTGTCAAATTGTTGTTTCAAACCAAAAATACGGACCGGGGAAGATCTGTCAATACATTTATTGTTAGATGCTTAGTCATTTCACTACCATTTTGCGATAATTAACAAAGAAGGTTTGGAGCCAACGTGCGCAAAAGTAACGGAATATTTTTAGAATACGAAAAATTCGAAAGCAACCATTGCGTTTTGATGACAGTGCTTTTCTAGAGTGTCAACATGGCGGGTGCTATGTGTTTTGAGCGGTCTCAGGCCCACAGCAGTAGAGATAAAGATTTACATTTGTTAAAAAAACTGGATGAAGATAACGATAAAAATGAAGACGAACAAATCAAGACTAAAGAACAGGACATCCTCAATCTTGGCGAAAAGTATAAGAAAGAGGGTAAGGCCAAAGAACTCGCGGACCTCATAAAAGCAACGAGGCCCTTCTTGAGCATGATAAGTAAGGCAAAAGCTGCAAAGTTAGTTAGGTCTTTGGTAGATTTCTTCTTGGATCTCGAAGCAGGAATTGGAATCGAAGTACAGTTGTGCAAGGAGTGTATAGAATGGGCAAAAGAAGAAAGAAGAACTTTCCTCCGACAGTCATTGGAAGCAAGATTAGTAGCTTTATATTTCGACACGGGTATGTACCCAGAAGCTCTGCAGTTAGGCTCCACATTATTAAAAGAACTGAAAAAATTGGATGATAAAAATCTGTTGGTTGAAGTGCAACTTCTAGAAAGTAAGACATACCATGCTCTTAGTAATCTTCCTAAAGCCCGGGCAGCTCTTACGTCTGCCCGGACCACGGCCAATGCTATCTATTGCCCTCCAAAAATGCAGGCTGCATTGGATTTACAGTCAGGAATTCTACATGCAGCAGACGAAAGAGATTTTAAAACAGCTTACTCATATTTTTATGAAGCATTTGAAGGATTTGATAGTGTGGAATCCCCCAAAGCCCTGACGGCACTCAAGTACATGTTATTGTCAAAAATAATGCTTAATAACCCTGAAGATGTACAACAGATTGTCAGTGGTAAATTGGCAATTAAATATGCTGGCAAAGATGTTGACGCAATGAAAGCTGTTGCACAAGCCTCACATAAAAGATCTTTAGCTGATTTTCAACTTGCTGTTAAACAGTTCAAGCATGAGCTAGAAGATGATGTCATTGTAAGAGCACATCTTGGCACTTTGTATGACAACATGTTGGAGCAGAATTTATGCAGAATAATTGAACCGTACTCAAGGGTAGAAGTTGACTACATTGCCAAGAGCATAAAACTACCCATGCCACAAGTGGAGAAGAAATTGTCACAGATGATTCTTGATGCAAAATTCAAGGGAATTTTGGATCAAGGGGAAGGTAAGTGAAATATAAAACTTGTATGAGTTGCAGGTGGTTGTAAATTAAAGGGAAAGATTATTTTTTATATATATGTTTGTTGTTTTAGGAGTCCTAATGGTTTTTGAAGACACCCCTGTAGACAAAACATATGAAATGGCTTTAGAAACAATACAGAGTATGAGCAGAGTGGTAGATACATTATATCAAAAAGCAAAGAAATTGTCTTAGGCATTATTTTTTGGTTTAACATTTAATTATAATTATTGAAAATCGACTGTCTGTGTACTTTAAAATACAAGTCATTTTAATATACTTACAATTTTTTGCCATCCTATCAGATGTCTATTTTGTAATTTTTAACATAGCAGTTCGCTGTAAATAGTTCTAAAGAGAAATTGCATACAACACCCAATTAAAATGAATTATAACAATATTGATAATTGTATTCTATTATTCACACATCAATTATTAAGAGACTTTTTCCATTCAATAGTTGCTTTGTAATAAAACTTAATCGTCATTTAGAAAAGTATGTCACATCTTACTGCAAGACAGTGTTAGAGACAAATGTTAATATTGCATGTAATCTTAAAAACAATTTTGAAAAAAGCTTTTAATAATAAATGATGTGGGAATGATAAACTAACATAGTACCTAATGTTTCTTTTTTGTTGGATTGGGTNATGCTAGATCATTTTTCAATAGCAATAATAACATTTAGATTGGTCTGATGAGAGAAGGGAGACTATTGGCGGAAGAATCTCCCTCGAAATTGTTGAGGGATTTCGGTACCGAAACGTTGGAAGAAGTGTTTTTAATTTTAAGCCAGAAACAATCGGAAGGGAAATTGGAACAGTTCCAAAACAATTTAAATAATCATGATATAAACGGAATTTATCCTGCGGATTCTGAAGCGAACTCTATAAATTCTATAGGAGTTAGTTCAACAAATGTATGAAATTGTCATTAGATTTGTTTTTATGTTAAAAGAGATAAACAAAATTATTTCCAGCTGGTGTCACAGAAAAGAAAAAAGAAATATGTCGCTCCAAAATTGTTCAATACTTTCCGATTGAAAGCACTTTTTGATAAGAATTGGAAACAATTCCATAGGAACGTAAGGTAAAAGTAAAAGAAACAAAAACAAAACAAAAAACAACATTCAATTATTTTTTTGTTTTTAACAATTGAATTATGACTATTCAAATTCGAATGTTTCTTTAGCGGATTGATGTTTATGATTTTCTTCCCTTGTCTGCAAATGTGCGCGTTCCTTACCGCAGTCGGTGGTGATATTAAAAACATAAACATAGCCATAGTTAATGAAGAAAACAATTTTAGTCCTTGTAAAGACTATTTGGTAAATGAAACCGCAATTTACAACGCATCCGAGGATTTGTGTGAATACCAACGACTGGGTTGTCGATTTTTAGAAGCAGTCAATACTTCCATGATGCACCATGTAAATAATATAAATTTTTTTTTAAATTTTGATTCGATTTCATTTTTATTAATTTCAGATTTATTACAATGATATTGATAGCGCAATCCATGATATAAAAAGAGGAAAAGTTACAGGTGCTTTACACATTCACAAAAATTTTTCTTATGCCTTAGAGCAAAAAGTTCAGAATGCTGGGAACATGACCGACGAAGAACTCGAAGATACTCAAATAATGACCTACATGGACATGTCTAGTATGATACGAAGTATTTTAGTGATTCAAACTAGAAACTCTTATAAAAAATCATTCTAGATCGACAAATTGGAACAACATTAAAATTTGAGTTAATCAACACGGTAATTGATATTCAGAAGGAAATCGTAGAAGATTGTGGATACGAAAAAAAAGCCGGGGACATACCAATAAATTTTCAAAAATATTTCTACGGCGACAAAGACGAAAGTTATGTCATTTTCATGATACCAGGGGCACTTATTACGTAAGTAAAAAAGAAACGCTAGAAAAAATTGAATGGANTTTTGTAATAATGTACATACTTATAATGTTATGTATCTAGTACATTAAAAAATTAGTCATTGTACTTAGTTTCCTTAATTAAATTTGTATTATAGCGATATAAACTCGTAAAACATTTTTATTTTTAACGTTAACGCATTTAAGTGATAACATTTTAATGATAAACTGCTTTATTGTAGTTAAAAATTTTATTAGCTTCACAACATAAATAAGACGTAGTTTTTCATTAAACCTTAGGTCAAGGAACAAATCCAATGTAGGTGTAGTAATTTAAATTGTATTTTCATACGAAATAAGCGTTACAGAAATTATGAAAGATTTGTACCCTTGTGAAACTCAATTTAAAATAGCAATAATAGTATTTGACTTTTAAAAAGTGATAAAAAATGTGCTTTATTTTGGAAATATTAAACTATTGAATTGCTGATGTGTAATATATTAAAAATCAGTGATCAATTGAGTTGAATAATAAAATGTATATTACGTAAATGAAATGTTAACATTCAAGTTAAATAAGTCTATTGTGAATGCTAAGTATATCAAATGTTTTGAATAAAACAAATGCATGTACATTTCTTATGTTTATCCTTCATTTGATATTAGTAGTTACGAATTTTTTGTTTTATTCTGATATTATTTTATTATTATTAAAAAAAAAAAAACAAATTACTAACGATATTTTTTTATATACAAAGGTAAGTACATCAGCATTTATAGAGAAGGTAGGAACAATCATATAAACAAAAGAGAAAATATTGTGTATATATTATATGTATAACATATTATGTATAAATTATATATGAATAATGTTATTTTAGTATAACATAATGGCCCCGTTTGTTTTTTCCTCTAATACAGGATAAATTGAATCCGTTTCATCGTTATCAGTATTGGCAAAGCATATCACAATAATATTTATAAAATTTGTAATGGCTGAGCCTGTTACAAACCTAAAAATAAATCCAGAATAAGTGAAAATAATAAAAAAAAATGAATGTCAAAAAATTACCAAAACGAGTACCCTAAATCCGCCATATTTTCCGAAGTCCATTTATTATATACATCTTCCCGGGTCATAACGTTGTGCTGAATTCTTAAAAAAAATTGAGCTAGCCAAAATCCGATAATTCCCAAATTGGCAAGAACTATAATAAAACAAAATTTTCAATTATTATTCTTTTTTTCATTTGTTTAATTTCGATTGTTTTTAGTTTTTGTTTTAGTCCAATGTTTTCCCTTGTTCACATACAACTATAATAATTTTTACTTGACGTAAGTATTAAATTATTACATTCTGATTATTCAGGAAGCAACAAATCGAATTTCTACTTATCCACTTACGTGCTAGAGTGTTCCATAGGTATAGGCCTCGNAAACAATACAGAGTATGAGCAGAGTGGTAGATACATTATATCAAAAAGCAAAGAAATTGTCTTAGGCATTATTTTTTGGTTTAACATTTAATTATAATTATTGAAAATCGACTGTCTGTGTACTTTAAAATACAAGTCATTTTAATATACTTACAATTTTTTGCCATCCTATCAGATGTCTATTTTGTAATTTTTAACATAGCAGTTCGCTGTAAATAGTTCTAAAGAGAAATTGCATACAACACCCAATTAAAATGAATTATAACAATATTGATAATTGTATTCTATTATTCACACATCAATTATTAAGAGACTTTTTCCATTCAATAGTTGCTTTGTAATAAAACTTAATCGTCATTTAGAAAAGTATGTCACATCTTACTGCAAGACAGTGTTAGAGACAAATGTTAATATTGCATGTAATCTTAAAAACAATTTTGAAAAAAGCTTTTAATAATAAATGATGTGGGAATGATAAACTAACATAGTACCTAATGTTTCTTTTTTGTTGGATTGGGTAATCTAATACTTTAAAAATTTTGAAAAATATATTCAGACACTGTTCTTTAGATTATTATTATTAATAAACCTTTTTTGAGCTATCTGTTGTTTATTTAAATAACGAAAACCTAAAATGTACCTTTCATCAGTTAGTAAAATTTTTATAAAAAAAATTGAGAAAAAAATGGTTTTTTAGAATTTATGCTTTATAAAACAAAATACAAATAAGTTAAATGATTTATTTATTTATTTCTATTTGTATTGTGTGTCTCCTGAAGGTCAAAGTGTCAAAAATGCTTTTATCTTATTAATAGCACACTAAAAATAGAAACTTGTTTACGGAATCACAACAAAATTAAAAAAATCAATGAAAAGTATTTTATTTACAATTATTAGTTACAATAATTACTTGGTTATTCATCTTTTCTTATTCCTCAACGATTTACTCTTCTTTTCTGGAGAAATAAAATAATTAATTAAAAATTGAAAATGATTAGCAAAATTATACAGTTTTACTTTTTACTTTAGATTCAGTCACTAAGCGTGAGCCGTGCTACCAGTCGCCCCGCACCCTTTTAATGAAGGTACAAGGTAGAAAGTTGAGACGTTTATATTAATATTATCGTACATGTATTAACTGCGACCTACGCAAATACTGTTTTCGAATTGCTATTAATAAGTATATGGATTATAATGGTTTGTCTCGTGGAAAATTACTAAATTAGAGAAAAGTATCGTTCAATAAACAAAAATAGAAAACAGCGACAGTAACATTATCAAAAAGTAAAAAGTTTTTTAAGAAATTTCTTAGAAGAAATTATATATTACACTTACTTCGTTTTGCTTTTACTGGATCCTTCTTGTCACGGGGTATGAACATCCCTGGCATTCGTTTGAATGCAGTATGAATGGGCAAAATAAAATTTGGATCAATGGGTCTCCACGGATGCTTATGAACTGGCTCACAGTTAATCACCTTGTACTCTGTATGCAAATCGTATACTCCAATTCGCGGTTCACCTTTACTAAAATAAAACACCTCTTTATACACACAATACATTTAAAACCATTTCTGAATGTGCTGAAAATAGTTACATACAAATTATAGCAATTATATTTAATTACAAAATCCTTACTTAATTTCAACAGCTTTTAATAATGAAACAAATGCTCCTTCTTTGGGCGTGTGGTGTAATATGTAAGCGCCAATTTCTTGTTGCACAAGTTCTTGACAAATCCTGTAAACAACGTGCAATCCTAGAGAGGGCTTGTTCTTGTGAAAATGCATCGCTTCTAAGTTCACAGTTTGCAGTGAACATGCCTCTGTTAGAATAACTTCTCCATTTGCAGGATTCAAACGAACTGGAAATGTAATTCTCGTAAGAATTTGTTACTTCAAAGAATCAGGGTTGATAAGAGTATGAAAATGGTAACCTAACACTGAGATTAATGTTTTCTACTAAAACTTTTTTATTACTATTTATTGTTCATTACACTTATCCTTATAATTCGTGTTTTACTATTAGTGATTTGGATGCAAAATAAATTAATAGAATAAGCATAAGGAACTTAATGCTTTATGGGACCATTTTCATTCATTCTTACTGAGTTCAGTCCGTGGATAAAAGCATTACCTCTGTGTAAATTTGAATATGGTCTGAAAAATAAACTGGTCCAAAGGTTTGATAATTCACTTTTAGTGGGTTCCTCGGCTCCATAGCCTAACTGGTACTCTAGTTTAGGGGCAACAACAACCGGTTGTAAAGTATTATTTTCTAATTTCTGGAAAACACAGGGCATTGTAGTTTAATTTAGCAAATTAAAATTTTTATTACTTCACAAGCATCCAGTTTACACCGAATTAAAATTCGCAATTCTAATTCGTCTCTTTTTGGTAAATTATCTTTTAATTTCGGCTTGAAACTCCAAATTCGATAGGAAACATTGTGTCTAGATAAATTCATTTTTATATTTGAAATTTCTTCTTTATCGTCTAAAAAAATGTGCTTCTTAGGCATTATAGTTTAAAAATATATAGTACAATTACCTCTTTCATCAAAATTGATCACATCAGACAATTCTTTAGTTTCGTGTGAAGTTGGATCGGGAATTATTTCTTCAATATGTTCAAAACTAAAATATATGTTGGTCTGCAATATTTGTATTTTCTTATTCTAATTTATTAAAATAAAATAATAATAAGGCTTTACCTTAGCATTTTAAAATAACAAAAATTTGCTTTGAGCCCATTTTTATATAATTTCTCATTTAGTTGTCTTACTGTTGGTGCCTTTTGAGGTAATGTCTTGTCTACAAATACAATTTTCTTACCCCTCTCTGTCTTAATTATAACAGGTATATCCCAATCGTAGTTCCAATTGTCACAATCCATCAGTCTTTTTAAAGCACTAGATGAAATAACTAATTGAAAAGCATTATGTTGTGCTAATTTTGAAATATTTCTGTCTTGACTAACTGCAACATTTAATTAACCATACACACTTGATTGAAAATAAACTCTAAAACTAATTACCTGGCAATTTAGAATTTAAAGTAAACATGGTGTCTTCATCTGAAAAGTTTATGTTTAGAAAACATTTACTTTTTATCATTGGAGGGGTAAATTTTGCTAAATGTCCCTAAAAAATAATATTTAAAAAGACAATAAAAACATAATAAANAATTACCAAAACGAGTACCCTAAATCCGCCATATTTTCCGAAGTCCATTTATTATATACATCTTCCCGGGTCATAACGTTGTGCTGAATTCTTAAAAAAAATTGAGCTAGCCAAAATCCGATAATTCCCAAATTGGCAAGAACTATAATAAAACAAAATTTTCAATTATTATTCTTTTTTTCATTTGTTTAATTTCGATTGTTTTTAGTTTTTGTTTTAGTCCAATGTTTTCCCTTGTTCACATACAACTATAATAATTTTTACTTGACGTAAGTATTAAATTATTACATTCTGATTATTCAGGAAGCAACAAATCGAATTTCTACTTATCCACTTACGTGCTAGAGTGTTCCATAGGTATAGGCCTCGAATGCTTACAAGAAAAACGGAAGTTTTTCTAGCCGTATTTACAACGGCAAAAACGGCACTTAACATACAGAAAAGTAACGCCCCGCAGACACAGGCAACGGTACCAAACCATAAACTATAATTTAGAATCTCTGGCTCATGCTTTAACTGATGGATAACTGTTAAATTAAAAAATTAATATGTTAATTTAACATCCGGTGAATCGTGAATAATAATAATGACAAGTTGTTGAAATCGGTCCTGTTCCAAAATTTTACCATTTATATGTATAGGTACCGAACGTGTAGTCCAAGCGAATTAGGTAAAAAATCGTAATTGTTTGAAATATAAATGTAATACAAGTAATTCTTACCATCAATTTCATCTGTTCTCCATCCGTAACCAACGTTAAGTTCCTTTTTACCATGGAACAGTCCAAATTGTATTTTACCCTCAGATTCTTTCGTATTTCTCTTTGCTTTTGCTACAACCCATTGTTCTGTCACAACGCTTGCTACAAGTAAAGCAATCGCAAAAACCGCGCCAAAAAATGTGAAAAAGATTAATCCTCTTTTGACGAAACTCATTTTGAGCCTGGGACACTTTTTAACCCGCACTAACTCCTAATAACAGTTCAAATAATTCGATATTTTCGTTTATTTTTTCTAACTACTATATTCGACATCACTATTTCGTTAAATAACATACTTGGGTCTCTTTTTATTCACGAACACTCGGTATACTCGGTGTGTATGGTTTTTAGGTCGTCGATTTGGTATTCACCAATATTTTGTGGGTATTATCTGTCCCACTTTTCATAAAATTGATTTGTTCACTGTACACACTATGCTATCGGTTTTTTAATTCGTTCTACTTTTAAGAAGAAAAGTAAATATGCATGAAATTGTTGTACTTAATCCTTATGCATTGGTATGGTTCCACATGGGTCCGTTATTTTTTTCATCAAGGTTTAGTGGCGAATGGAAGAATTTAAATGATTTACTCACTGCCCAAGGTGTTTTTTTTTTATTTTTAAACAGGTTTCGTATTATAAACGCTAAACATTCTTTAGGCCAGCCAAGCACAGATCCTGTCCAGCCTGTCTTTTGTTTGTATTATTGTTTAACTGCATTTGTTTTGTAATACAAATGTATACTGATGCACTATTTCAATAGCAAACAGCAGAATTCCTGATTTCTTGTCGTTTTTCTTTCGTCTAGCGAAATTTAACTTGAAGGAATTACCATTGGTTTCAATTATCTAATTAAACAAAAAAAAAGTAATAATAAACCAGCAATTAAAGTGCCTCGTGTTATTGATATTAATCTTTACAAATATTTTTATAAGTATAAATTATTTACTGCTCCTTTGGATTCTTAATTATTCTAATTTTTTATTCATGGTATAGTAAACATGAGTATAAGTACTTAAGTTAGGTACTTTCACTTTAGATTCTTTTGAAACTTGATTATTTATTTAAAATAATTCCTATTAGTGCTTTTATGTTACATTTTATTTAAATTTCATGATTTTCCGTAAATAAAAGCAACTGGAAAAAGAGAAACGTATATAATTAGACGAAATAACCATGCAGAAATGATATTTGTTTTTCAAATTGCAATAATTCACACTAGAGATCACACCCCTATTAACTGGTTTTAATTTTATAACTTATTTATCGTAATACATGGGAAAATCCTGAATTTAATTTCGGAGACTTCAACGTGCGGTCAAGACACGAACCCGAACGTAAAAAATTTATCTATTGGAATATTTCCCATAAAATTAACTAGGCGTGGATCAAACTGTAGAAATTTAATAAATAGGTATATATTCAGTACTTAGTCACTTTTTTAGCCAAAATAAATATCGGATAATAGTAGAAAAGCTGCTGGTGACATTGAATTGATAGATAAATTAATTAAGTATCTAAAGTTAATGAAAAACGTTTTAATTTCAGTACAGTATTATTCTATTTGCATAATGTTAGTCAGCGTGCACTTGAATTTTAATGAAAAATTGTATGTAAATGTGTATATAATAGTTGCATTCCCAACCTTAAAGGTTAAATTCCGTGCAATGGAAAAACTCCTCTCGAATAGGTAACTTAAGTAATTATCACTGTCTATATTATTAATTATTAATAACAACACTGATTATTAAAGTCTATTTTGGCCAGAAAGACATCGGATTAACACAAACACAAAGCGGTTAGTAGGAATATAAAGATTTCTCGAACGATAGTACTTCGTACCTGACCAGTCGCTTCTACACTTCCTACTTTGTACCTATTTGTAATAAAAATTTATATGCGTCTACAGGCGGATTGTAGACTGTAGAGGTAGTCGTGGTAACAAACTATAAACAATTCAAGACAAAAAGGGGGGGCAATTTTTAAGTTTATTTTTAAATAATGAATCTAGAGTGTAAGTACTATTTTTTTTATTTTTCTTCAGGTTATAAATATTATTATATAGATACTCAGTTTTTTAAATTATTTATTTATTTACTATTAATTTAAAATAGACTTTGAACTCT